ACCAGAGCATCGACCTTTCTCCATATAAGGGCAAAATAGATGGTCAGATAGCCTGTGTCTCTTTAGGCAACATTCTAGTCACAGTACTCAGTGGGGAAAACCTTTTATTCATAGGCTTGAATCTAAAGGAGCCTGTCTGTTCCCAGAGGAATCCATTCAGAGAAGATTCCTGTGGCTGGAAGATTCTTCCATGTGGAAGGGCATCTTTGGATGTGACCTGACAAGATTTTATGTTTTGATATTCTTGCCCTTCAGTCTGTCTTGAGTTATGTTTACTAACTTAGAAAACTGCCCTTTATGGTATTAATGGTTTTTTGACATAAGCTAGAACTTTACCTGCTCTTACTGTGACAAAATTTGAAACTCCCTATCTTATTGTGGCCTAGACAATATCCCTTGGATTTACTGTACTGATAAATAATGTCTGTCAGAGATCAGATGGTGACCATTAGTCTTTATTCTCCTTTTCCAGAGCCTTTCCTGTCTATGATGCTGGTGGTGACAGAAATTAGTTTCTCGCTTGATGTGCAGGTACAGTAATAGCTGACTGTGGTATGTAGGTTGCATTTTGCTTCGCTTAACAAATACAGGGTTAGCTCTCCTGGGAGCAGGATTTCAGGGCATTTCAGGCTGTCATGGGAAGGGGGTGCCAAGAAAGTAATGCTCAGGGGACAGAAGTTCTTGCATCTGCATAGTTTGCTCACAACTTCTTGTTTATCTTCTCACATAATCCTGTACTTCATTCATAGAATTCCAGTTTCTTGGATGAAAGCTGGCAGCTTCCGGTAAGAGGTTTTAGTTCTCTTTTGCTTTCAGTGTGATTTGTTATGTTCTCCTGTTATGTCATTTATAGAGAGTGCCATCATTAAGCATTTTTACACCTGAAGCAAATAATCAAATTGGGACCTCCGCTCTGGACTGGCGTTTTACTTATATTTTTTAAAATAGCTCGCAGAGATGGAGGCAGAAAAATATGCGTTTACTGAACTCTATCTCCCTAAATAAATTTTCATCATAATAATAGGAAATCTGCCCCTGCCCAGCTATATAGAGCGATTTTAATTTTGTGTGGAATCTATTTATTTATTTAGGAACACGGGGGGGGGGGGGGGGGAGAGAAGAAAAAAAGGGGGTTATACAACATAATTGCATTTGTCAAGGACAATCCTGTAATACAAAATGTATAAAACAGGAAATATTTTACCTTACATCCCCTTCATTATAATTTTAAGGTATTACCTATAATATATGATAGTTCATACTTCTGTTGGGATATGATTATATTCAACATTTTAAGTTTCATAATTAATCTATTTTGACTACATCATTAGTTTCATAATTACTATGCATTCAATATTACATATTTTTGCCACTTCTACATATTCATTAGAACTTTTAACAGACAAATAATAAGGTGTGAAGGAAGGTGTATTATATATCTCATATCAAAAACCCATTTGTATTCAAGATGTTACATTTAATTCTACTTCTATTTCGTGACCATACATTTGTATATAATATTTTAGACTGCTTCTCATTCTAAGTTTGTCTCCTGCTATCATAGTACACATAATACATGCTCCATCTCCTCACATTTTGTAATAGACCTGTTTCTCAAGTAGGTTGTCAATTTTGCCATTATTGCATATTCAACAAGTTTATTTTTCTATTCTTCTAAACGTGGACAGATGTCTAATTTCCATTTTGCTGCATAGTTTTAGCCGCTGTCACCATGTTTTTGAATATCTCTTCTAAATTTTTTGGTAATTTGTTAGGCGGAACACCTAATAGCTTAGCTTGCATTTGAAATTTAAACTTTAATATGTTCTGCATTTTTCGGTGTATTTCTTTCCAGAATCTTTTTGCTTTTTTACAAGTCCACCGCATATGAAAGAAGGTTCCATCTATATCTTGACATTTCCAGCATTTTCCTTTGTAGTTTTTATATGCTTTCTCAATGTCCTTTGGTGTTATATACCATCTAAAAACATTTTCTACCAATTTTCTCTTAATGTCTGGCTGATTGTAAATTTGATATATTTTCCCCATAGTTGTTCCCATTGTTGCATAGAGATCTGTTCTTTAAGGTTTTGCATCCACTTAAGATCATACTTTTTTTCACTTGTTCATCTTCCATTTCTAGCTGGAGTAAAATCTTATATATCCATCATAGTAAATGCTCTTTTTGTTTTATGACAAGCTGCTCAAATTTAGTCACATCTCTTAGAACTCCACCTTAAGTGCTCATGATCTCCTTTAGTCTTGAGACTGATTGATAATATAGCAGCCATTGAATGTTTATACCTTCATCTTTGATATCTTGCCAAGACTTGATTTTCCCCTGAGTATTTATCATCATGCTATATATTAAAAACATTTTTATTTCTTGTGTTCTTATCATGGTAAGCTTCTATTGGGGACATAAGCAGAGAGTCTGAGGGGCTCAATAAATTCTGGCATTTAAAGTATACTCTCAAAAGTCCATCTCTGATTATATAACTCTTCTTTATGATCTTTTTAGCTGATGTCTTAATCCATAAATAATTGTGTAAGCCTTCATCAAGGTCTGCTGATTGTAATTTTACTATACTATGTCTTGGGTTTTTAATCCAGTCCATGATCTAGAACAGACCAGCTGCTTGGTAATATAATTTTATATTTGGGAGTCGGGACTATGGATGAGCACAGACCAGTCCATGAACCTAAATTCATGACAAAAATCACCTGGTTCGTGAGCCAAGGTTCATGCGATCTCACCTGCAATGAATCTCCCACAACCTTCCACGTGGTTTTTGGAGGTTCGGGCAGCTTGTGGTGGTGTGTGTCAGTGGCTTCTGCAGCAGACACGCTGGCGCAGTTCAGTTATGATCATCAAAGCAATGGGGGGATGTACTTCTGTAGTTGTGGAAACACCAATAAGAGAGCTCCCATTCTGCTCTATGGGAGCAAAATGGTATAGATACCCCCAGCTCACACACAGCTGTTTTTTCCCCGGCTGCAGCAGGCATGCTGCACGGCACTTAGATGCAGAGAGGGAAGGGAACTGGAAGTCATTCTTCAGTGTGAATAGAGGGGTTGGGGGTGTTTGGTGCTTACTCAGGGCTGAGGCATCTGTCCTTCTGCTCACACCAAGCAGAAGGGCTTAGCTTCATTGGTGCATCTGGCTTGCAGGTGGTCTGTTTGACACACTCCTGAACTTGCGACTGTTGATTTCCCCATATAGTACTTTCTTGGGGAGCTTATTGTTAATTATGGAAAGAATATAGATTCTTAGGAAAAAAATAAGAGAACATTATAGGCTGCAAAATGGCTTCATGAAGATGATAACACTTGAACTAGTTTAAGAACACACCTAGATCACGTTCTATCATTTTGCAACAGAAACGCTCCAACATCAAAAGTGATCTGCTTTCTCTCTAGAATTAGCAAAATAAGTGCCAAAAAGAGTATCAGGGCAAGAAACATGATATGACATTAGTCTCATCTCCTCCACTATATCCTGACAACAACCTTGTGAAGTAGGTTAGGCTAAGAGTGTGTGTGACTGGTGCAAATCACCCACCAGGCTTTCATGGTGGAGTGGGGATTTGAACCTTGGTCTCTAGGATCCTAGTCTGACACTCCAATCAATATGCCACACTTGTGGTCTCTTTCAAGCATTTTAGATATTTCTTCATTATCATCGAGCTTTCTCATTGAGACAGGGAAGAATTACTGTTATCAAACAATGCCTTAAAGACAGACCAGTATAATACCTGCAGTAAACCGTGCAGTAAGGCTAGGTTTCATCATTTAGGCAATGAACAATGCAATAGAATTGAATTACACCATCAGAGAAGAACAAAATAAAACAATATAATATATCCAATAAACAGTGTGAAGGGGGGAGGGGGGCAAGTCCTGTGAAGTGTGACCTGAAGTACTTCCACATGGCTCCGGTTTGACCCCTTGTGGAGTCTCCCTTGGGACTGGGTGTCTTGCTGCACTCAGCCCAGACAGGGCCAGACTGCTGTTGGGCTGCTCATCTGGGCTGTGAGCATGTCTGAGCTTTGATCGTTTCCTCCACACATTAGGGTTCATTTAATCAAAGCACGATGCTCTGTAGGAGCAGATAGGCCTTTAACAGAGTCTTAAGGCTTTCAAGGCAACCCATGGGGCTGCCAGCATCCAGATGGTCAAACTACTTTGATGAAGCTTGAAAGTGAAATGAGACAGACTGTAGCTAGCTCCCTTGTAAAGAGGATCTTCTTTTGGAACCGTTTGTGTCTGATTACCTATCTGCATTTGCTTAGAAGAGTCTTTTTTGGGGGGAACTGCTTGTTTATTTGAATCTCTTTATATATCCAAATCAAGTATTGTTCTTAGAACTATGCATTGTGGTTGTTATGTAGATGTACTATGTAGTTCTGTTGAATGATCTGTATATTGTGCACCTATGTGTTCGTGTAGGAAATATTCCGCTTTGATATTGTCTGATCATCATTTACAATATACAGACCTATGTTTCAGTTTGTCTGCACAGTTTATTTCGTAATTTTTTGGTCCTTGAACTGTGCAGGCCCTGTGCTTTTGTTAACAGCCAGATGGTGGCCGGAGACCCCCTGGGATTACAGCTGATCTCCAGATGAAAGAGAGAGAGAGAAAGTGGCCACTTTCTAAAGTGGACTCTATGGCATTGTACCCCACTGAAGTCCCTCCCCTCCCCAAACCCCATCTTCCTCAGGCTTCATCCCCGAAATCTCCAGTTATTCCCCAACCTGGAGCTGGCAACCCTGAACCCATATGACAGATGTGGCGCCATCCTGCTAGTGGCCCTGCAATGTCTGTGACGGATAAAAGAATGTTAGAGTTTAGGTCCTTTCCCAGCTTTCCTTAAAGAAGATGAAGTGAATGCCCTAATTAATGGAAGCAAAATACCCCATCTTTGCCAAGGCTCTGCATGGTGAAGGAGGATTTCTTCAAGCTTGCTGGAGTCTACATTGATAAATACTGCTTTCTAGGTGTGTGTGACCTATGAAACTGTCCCCTGCAAAGAACTAGGAATGGTGCTCAGGTAAGAGATCTGCTACTCTCCTCCCTTGCTTTGTGTCCAGTCCCTTTAAAAAGATACCTTTGTGGGACTGAGGACGGCCAGCAAGGAGCCTTGCTCCTTTAATAAGGGCTTAATGCATAGAAGTGGGAAATGGAAGCTTTTCATGATATGAAAGTAAATATGCTCACCAGGTACATAATGTCCCATTAAACTTCTTTTAAAGGATAGGACACTTTTTCTCCACACAGTAGCAACCTTACTGGTTTTCCAAGGAAAACCTGGTTATAAAACAATGTGTTGTCAGCTGATTTTACATAATTGATCCTGTTAATCAAGATTGATAATGATTCTCCTAATCACAGTTGATTCTGATTCGAAATTGATTCTGCTAATTATCATAATTGATTCATCAAGGGAAGCAATGAGGAGAACTGCCCCCAAGCCACAGGATATCCTATTTACCTTTTTTTCTTCTTCATTGGAGGCTAAAGATTTTATGATATGGATTTTGCCAAAGGAAGAAAATGTCTCTGCCAGTTTTGGTGTCTATCCAGTTCGTGCAGTTGAAATATCATGATGGTTTGTAGTGGATGTGTAAATTAGCTGCAGTTTAAGAAATATTTCCATTGTGACTCTGGTACTGAATAAAAGCAGAGCTAAACTCTGTGCGCATTTCCATTATCTGTTTTATCTGTTTTATATGGGCGTTGCCCCCTGTAAGCCGCCCTGAGCCCGCTCTGCGGGGATGGCGGGGTATAAATCTTAATAAATAAATAAATAATCTTTTTAACCTCTAGTTTTAAATTTAGGTTACAAAGCAGCTGCTGGAATTGTATTTTTAAGGGGAGGTACTAGGGTTGCCAGGTCTGGGTTGAAGAATACCTGGAGACTTTGGGGGTGGAGCCAGGAGAGGGCGAGGTTTGGGGAGGGGAGGGGCCTCAGCATGGTACAGTGCCATAGAGTCCACCCTTCAAAGCAGCTGTTTTCTCCAGGGGAGCTGATCTCTGTCAGCTGGAGATCAGTTGTAAAAGCAGGAGATCCCCAGGCCCCAACTGGAGGCTGGCAACTCTGGGAGGTACTGATGGGGGGGGTGAGCCCTCTCCCCATTTTCCTGAATAACATTTCCTATCATATCTGTCCCACAGTTGTTTTGGGTTCTTTGGGAAAAATTTAACAGGGGTGCATAGGTTTTTCCCAGCAGAGGTAAAGGCAGCTTGGGGAGTGTAGCAGCTTTTAACAGGAAAACCGAGCAGGAGGAAGTATAAAATTGCTGCACCTCCCATACTCATTCAGCTTCTGGAACATGCAGACCCATCATCTCCACTGTAAAATAATTCAGAAGTTGGTAAAAAGGGACGACAGATCTACATGGAATATGTGCTGCTGCCCTAAGTGCCCTGACCTTCATTTAAGTTCCATACAGGGGTCATTTCGTAGAAAAAGAGCTAGGGGGACTCATTAGCATAACTCATTAGCATATGCCACACACCCTGACATCACCGGAAGTGTGTCCTCCCCACAGCCGGTGGCGACCTCTAGCGGGCACCAGCAGGGAGCTCTAGGCCCCGCCCTCCCGCACCTCACCCCGGGGGGATGACGTCCCCCTGCGTCCCCCCCCCAAATGACCCCTGGTTCCATACAGTATCTAATCCAAAGAACCTTTTCCTGTACCTTGCCTGGAGTATTGCTGAAGTCATCGGAAGATTTTTTTTTAGAGAAGTAGTTTAAGCTAACAGAGAGTGACTGGGGCAATGATGCTCTGTATTCTTGGTGCTTGGGGGCGGGGTAACAGTGGGAGGGCTTCTGGAGTTCTGGCCCCACTGATGGACCTCCTGATGGCACCTGAGTTTTGGCCACTGCATAACACACAGTGTTGGACTGGATGGGCCATTGGCCTGATCCAGTGTGGCTTCCCTTATCTTCTTACTAGCCTGATACCTGTGCTTTGCTACGGTATTTAAGTTCTGTAAATCCAGTTATAATACTGATGATGTGAATTGTGAAAGGTAATGTTTGTTGTAGGAATTCTAATGGAGAAGATTGTCATGTAAAGGATATGCACTCCCCCCCCTCTACCGAAGGACCTCTTTGTAGACCACAGTGATGATTCTGCCCTCAGGTGCTAGGATCACCAGGCTGCTTGGTGAGCTCACTCTGGAGCAGGCTCCGAGAAAGGTCCTTTACTATCTCCCCATGAACATTCATAAACTCAATTGCCATGCTGGCTGTTATGAGAAATATCCATTCAGGAGTCTTGAACTTCTGATTTCTGTAACTGTCCTCAACTGTCTGCAGTCTTCTTACTGTGTTTTTACCTCAGAACGTTGAGATCCACAGCTGAGCAATCAGAGGGAGGTGGGTGCAAGTAGGCAGGTTTTACCTCAGAACTCTGAGCTACACAGTTGACCAATGGGGGGGGGGAGAGACAGCAGCCTGCCAAGCACATGGAAAACAATTGGGGAACACATTTTGCCCCTTTTTTACCCCCTTAGGGGTCGTGTTTGTCAGAAATCTATTCCTAGTGGGGGTTGATGTCATGGTAGGGATGCACTCCCCTTATTTTGGGTTTCTTGGTGCAGGGGTTTGGCCTGGGCATTGGATTGTGTGTGTGTGTGTGCAGGGCATACTTTTTAAAACAAAAATGCTTCTCATTTATGTTACATTTAAGAAGTGGGACATAACTACGTATTCAAAACAACATCCGAGCAATCAGATATTGAGTAAGTTCGTAGGAACCAATTTTCTAGAACCCACATTGTGAGAAGTAAAATAACCTAATACAGGAAACCACTTTTCTACAAATTTGGGGTACATTTCCATAGTGGGTGGGAGTGTGACTAAACTGGGCCAGCAGCATTGGTAAGGTGATCCTGCTGGGGCGGCCTCACTGATGGATTAAAGTACCTTGGCCCTGCTCTTCCACTGACAAAACCCCACCTGTCTGGTGTGGGGGGGGAGGATTATGCTTAAAGGCATCAGGGAGGCTGGGCCAGCAGCAGAGTTAAGGAAATCCTGACTAAGCAAACCTCCCCTATGGCTTTAAGGACTCCGTGCCCCTTCCAACCCTTGACAGGCAGTTGTCTGTCAGGTGTAGGAGGGGTAGCGTGTCTGAAGGCATCGGGGAGGCTGGGCCAGCAGGATTGCTAAGGAGATGCTGCTTGGGCAACCTCCCCAATGGATTTCAATGCTCTGCCCCTGCTCCTGACAGACAACTGCCTGTCAGGTGGAGGTGAGGTGAATGGGAGTGTGTCTAAAGCCATTGGGAAGGCTGGCCCAGCAGCATTGCTAAGGTGCTTCTGCTTGGGCAGCCTCCCCGATGGATTAAAGTACCCTGGCCCTTCTCCTAAACCTGACAGACACCCGCCTGTTTGGTGTTGGGGGGGTGTCTTTAAAGGCATAGGTGAGGCTGGGCCAGCAGCAGCCTGGCAGCCACATAGGGATCAATGGGGGGAGCACATTTTACCCCTTTTGACCCACTTAGGGGTCGAATTTCTAAAAATCCCTTCTTATTGAGCATCTACGTCATGGTAGGAGTGCTCTCCCCGAATTTCATGTTTCTAGGTCCAGGGGTTTGGCCTGGGCGTTGATTTTACGGTGAGGGGACTTTCTTATTTTTATGTGTGTGTGTGTGTGTGTGTGTGTGTGTATCAATAAACCTTTAATGGCATATACAACATTAAAATCAGAGACAGAAAATGACACACACACACACACACACACATATATATGTTGTATATGCCATTAAAGGTTTATAAATCAATAAATAAACCTTTAATGGCATATACAAGGAAGAAGGGTGAGGGGGGGAGACAGAGACAGATGGTCAGAAAGACAGACAGACAGGCAGAGATGGAGGGAGGGAGGATTAAGGGGGGAGAAGTCAAAGCGATGGGGAGGAAGGGAGAAAGAGTGAGAGAAGGAAAGAATGAAGGGAGATAGGGATAAACGAAGAGAGAGTGAAGAAGGGGGGGTAGCGGTGGAAATGTGCCCCTGGCGGGCAGCTCAGCGCCACTGCCCCTCGCCTGCTCCCCCCAAAAGCCTGTGAAGTGGGGGGGGGAGGGAACCGTTGTAGCGGTCAAGAGGTCAGGTCTACCAATACACTGGCATGGGATGGGTAGACCTGTTCTCCAGAGGCCAGGTCTACCAATATAGTGGAATGGGTAGGTAGACCTGTTCTCCAGAGGCCTCTGGAGAACAGGTCTACCCACCCCATTCCAGTGTATTGGTAGCACACGACGTAGCACATTGGGGGCATGGCCAAGATCGTCCCCGACATTGGGGGCATGGCCAAGATGGCCCCCGATGATCTGGGCCACGCCCCCAACGTGCCCTACGTTGTGCGTCACCTCTGGTGACGCAGCTTCGGGGGGTGGGGTTCCCCCCAGGGCCGATTTCCGTCGCATCAGAAATTGGTCCTCCAAAGCGGGGGATTCCCCGCCCCCTGGGCCGATTTGGCAACCCTACCCGCGGCACATCTGGGCTAGGCCGTGCCTACCCAGGGACAGACGTCGCTGCCCTCCCACCGAAGCAGGCCGGGCCGCCCTGAGGCCTAGTAAGGCCGGAGCAGCCGCTTCCCCCACCAGAACTTTCCCGCAGAGCCCCTGGGCAGGAGAAGTTGTTTGTGTGAAGGGAGTGCTTAACATTTCCTTGCTCACCACTTTCCCCATTTCATATTGCATGTACACATATACATATTGTTAAGTTGTGCGCTTAACAAAGAGTCGGAGAGTGATTTCAGCAAGAATGCGGTTTATTCTTCAGCTCAGTTACTTCTCCGTTACGGTACAACAATCGCCAGCCAGAACCAATCGAATAAATACACTGGCTTGTCAGTATTTAAACACTCCCGGCTAATGTAGCCACACCCACTGTACAATAAGGCAACCTATGAGGTTGAAGCAATAATGACCAATCACAAGCGATCCCGCTCTGCACGGTGATTGGCAGACACTTTTCTGGGCTAGGGCTCCTATTGGTTACATTAGGATCCTAGCCCAGGATGAAGCTCAACATGGCATCTC